ATATTCTGTTGATATTCAAATTATTATACTATATAGTATATGTCTTCAATTATAGTACTTCTTTAACCTGGTGAATATTCAGTTCACAACATGAAAGTTTATACAATTTCTTACTGTTAAATATTCTACTATTCTTTTGCCTGAGAGGTGAAAATCGTGACTGTATTTTCTATGTTACAGGATGTAGAAAGTTTAAATTGTGACTGTATTTTCTATGTTACAGGATGTAGAAAGTTATGATCCTATATTAAACCCTGTATTAAATCGTGACTGTATTTTCTATGTTACAGGATGTAGAAAGTTTAAATTGTGACTGTATTTTCTATGTTACAGGATGTAGAAAGTTATGATCCCATATTAAACCCTGTATTAAATCGTGACTGTATTTTCTATATTACAGGATGTAGAAAGTTTAAATCGTGACTATATTTTCTATGTTACCAGGATGTAGAAAGTTATGATCCTATATTAAACCCTGTATTAAATCGTGACTGTATTTTCTATGTTACAGGATGTAGAAAGTTATGATCCTATATTAAACCCTGTATTAAATCGTGACTGTATTTTCTATGTTACAGGATGTAGAAAGTTATGATCCTATATTAAATCCTGTATTAAATCGTGAGTTAAGAAGAACAGGTGGTCGTGTATTGATAACTCTTGGAGATCAAGATATTGATTTATCTCCCTCTTTCACCATCTTCCTGTCTACAAGAGACCCAAATGTAAGTAGCGTTATTATTTACGTTACTTATAGATTGACAGTCCTTCATTGTATGCAGTATCTCTTGTTCTTAATATATGTAAATAATGATAAAAATTAATCGTGGCAATTATTCGAAACTAATTTATTTTAAAAACATCAAGGATCTGACATAAAATACTGGCCCATTTTAGGAAAAAGGCATTTATTAGTCCTCAGAAGACAAGGGTAATTGGGTTTTGTTTAGGTTTCTCTTTATGATCAGTGAGGATTTGGTTTTTTAATGATACCCAATATCATTCTAGGTTGAATTTCCACCAGATATCTGTTCCCGAGTCACGTTTGTCAACTTCACAGTAACAAGAAGTAGTTTACAGAGTCAATGTTTGAATCAAGTATTAAAGTCTGAACGACCAGATGTGGATGAAAAGAGATCCGATCTACTCAAATTACAAGGTAAGTTCCTTATTGACGAATATATGTCTTTTTAATAACATCAGAACTGGAAGTTCACGAAATAGATTGAAATATTGTTATTCATTGAGCTAATATCTAACATAAATTTAACAGGTGAATTCCAGTTGAGATTACGACAACTAGAGAAATCTCTACTACAAGCTCTCAATGATGTTAAAGGAAAGATTCTAGATGATGACAGGTTTGTTGGTTTTTATATTCGTATGAAGTTTCTTAGTGGGGGAATATCTTGGCACATTTAAGTTGCATTAAAATAACCAAGTCTGATCCAATTCTAGACAGCCAGACTCTCCCAGTCCGAACAGCCAGACACTCCCAGTCCGAGCAGCCAGACACCCCCACTCCGAGCAACCAGACACCCCCAGTCTAGACAGCCAGACACCCCCAGTTTGGACAGTCAGACACTGCAAGTCAAAAAATACATCCTTGGTGGTCAGAAACTTTTTCTCAAAATTTGATTATCAAATCTGTTGAATATTTGAAATTCATCATTAAAAAAAAAGTATGAAATTTATATATTATTGTAGGTTAAAATGTCTTTAATTTGAAAATCTTCCATTTGAATTTCAGTATTTTGAGCCATCTTGAAACATTAAAAACAGAGGCTGCTGAGGTAGCAAGGAAAGTAGAAGAAACAGACGTAGTCATGGCTGAAGTAGAAACTACATCTCAACAATACGTACCACTAGCTCAGTCATGTAGTTCTATATATTTTACACTAGAGGCTCTACAACAGGTCTGTATTTTAATGTAGAGCCATCCTTTGGTCATATTAAGACTGGGTTGTTTTTTCACCTTTTCGCCCTATTCTTTGAGACGTGTCAAAGGCGCAGAGGGAAAGATGTTGAAAGGCTAGTGCTTGTTCAATGGTCTTACGCAATGCCTATTTGAGTTTAGATCTGGACTACAAAAGAATCTACACAAGAAGTAAAAAATTGAAATGAGATCCCCCTTAGCTGTTTTATGATGGATCGAATTCGAAAATTAAATTTAAAAAGATAGATATTTGATTTAAATGTTGGCTGTTCTGTTTTCCAGGTTCACTTCCTGTACCAGTATTCACTTCAACTATTTTTTGAGATTTTCCATTCTGTGTTATCAAACAACCCAAGGTTGAATGGAGTGAAGGAATACGCCTCCCGATTGTCGATTATTACTACAGACTTGTTCCAGGTAGGTACTGGTTGAGTGTGCTTATTCTGTTTATATGTAAGGGATCTGCTGTAGCTCAATAAGTTAGATGCTTGCTCCTGAAGGTCCAGGGTACGATCCTGGCATAGGGTGAGATAATACCTTCGATCTTTAGCCAGGTTTCCCCCTTGTCACATCACATTTTACGTCTTAATCTTCTCTACTTAATTGGGATATTGAAGACAGACAACCCAGTGAAACAGGTCTGAGGGAAAAGCATCTAGTTGTCTTTGTGCTTGAGGCTGTGCAAATCTAAGAACCAGTTGGAAATCTATAAAGATTAGGTTAATGCTGCTGTCCTTATAAAATTGAACCACAGAAAATTGGAAAGGTGAAAAATGGATGCTGTCACAATTCGTGTAAATAAAATATGAGAAACCATATTTTATTTTTTTATTGTGTAGAGATCAAGATAACTACTATTTCTATTGTATATATTGTAGAGATCAAGATAATAACTATTTCTATTGTATATATTGTAGGAGACATACAGTCGTGTTGGTAGAGGTATGTTATTTAATGATCGAATTACCTTCGCTATTCAGTTATGTCGTATACATTTACAGAGTACTGCAAGGTTTGTATGCTTTTATTGGTTAATTTCTTCCAGTCTTTTGAAGTGATCTAGGTTGACAACATTAACGCTCGTATAAACTATATACAGGAATCGGCTAATCAGTTAAAGTGCCCACAGCTCAATGTTAAAATTTGTACCTTCAAATTATCATGAATTTTTTGAATGAGACTCATCTTTTTTGGAGACACTGCCATATTTAGAAATAGAAAGTGAAATTCCTAGTTGGAGATATATCTGAAGAAATTATGTGATATTCGTACATTTCTAGTACTTCTGAAGACTATTTACAAATATTCAAGACCAAAATCAACCCCTCAAAATGGCGAACTATAACCTTTCAACTTGTCTGATCAATATTTAGTTTTAAACTATATTATTATATGTATTATTTCAGTGAAACGGCATACACTGAAGAGTTCAGTTATTTCTTACGAAGTCAAGAAGGTTTGATCACAGAAAAACAGACGTCTGCTACCCAGGGTCTCACTTCCCAACAGGTAATACAACTTTTACAATTTCAACACCTCTTGTTACTATTCTACTCAATGTATTGATTGTTATTTTGTTATTTGGGTTTTTCAATTCTGCATCATTGATGTTCGTTTAGTTTATACAAGGTTTTTGTTTTTACCTTAAAATTCCTTGAACTTTGTTTGCTCTGAAAAGATATCAATTGTTTCAGATGATGGGAAGGCTTGAATTAATCTAAGCTGAAGTCCTTAGGTTTTATTTCTCCAAAAACTAATCAATAATATATTGTGTTTTATATTACAGCAAGCTGATGTAGTACGATTAAGTAAATTACCAGCCTTTAAAAATCTGGCAGGTGAAATCAAGAGTAATGCTGTAAGTAATTTAGGTCTCATTAAAATCTTGCTATTTGTCAGCTGATTTATCTGTTTTGAATCTAGAGAGTTCACATAGATTACACAGAAATCATCTGTTGCTGTTGTGGTCAATGATATTTCTTTGGTATTTGGTTACTTAACTTGGCATCCCTTTCAGAGAGTCCACAAAGCTCTGAATATTTTTCATTGGTT